TCAGCAGCAATTGGGGCTTTTCCTGCATGATCAGCTTCCCTGCTGGAAAGGTGGATGAAAGGAAGGCCAGTGGCCCTGCCATGAAACCCCAGGGAACTGCGGTTTGTGCAGAGACAGAAGTGCAGAGGGGACAGGGCACAGGGAGAAGTCAGAGAGGTCAACTGCCAGCTGGGAAACAGAGGAGAGAAGGCGCTAATGGATTCAGCAGCAAGAGTGCAACGGGGCTTTTGCTGCCCCGTGGCTTCCCCCCGGCTGAGCTCTGCGCTGCTGGCACCGCGGAGGGCTCTCGGGAGCATCGAGGGCACGGGCTGAAACCCACAGGGGCTCAACACAGCGGCAGCACGGGCTGCAAGGGTGCAGGGACAGTCGAGGACCTGCAAAAAAGGGGAGGATGTGGGGATGTGTGTGTGTGCGCGTGCATGTGTGTGAGGGGGGGCTCAGTCAAACACACCCCTCAAAGCAAGGTCCCAAGAAGCGGGGTAGGCGTGTCGCTGGCAGCTCTGTGTGTGCTGGGGGACGAGGAGGGAGGAAGAACTGGAAGAGGGGTGCAGTGGCTGTCCTACAGCACCAGGGCCAGGCCACAGAGCAGCTAAGGCAAGCTCAGCCCCGCAGCATCCTTTTCTCCCCAGGTCTTGCCCACTCCTCCTCCACCTTTACATGCACCACAGGGATGGAAAGGCCACAAGCCTGGGAACTTCTCAGCTCGTTTCACACATGAGAGGAGCTGGACTGGAAGTCCAGAGAGCTCTCCCTGGCCCATCAACTTACCGGTGACTCTCCCATCACCCTCTCGCCGTTGTTGATCCTCATTACCCCTTTGCGCCCATTCCTCTCCAACAAGACACTTATCCAGGTGTTGAGGGGAACTGGCTCTTTGCTCCTGGTGGTGAGAAGGGTGGAGAAGACACACGGGTGAGAGCTCTGCCATCACCACCTGCAAACACAGCGTTGCAAAACCTCCCCTGACCAGCCTAGGCTGTCCAGGCCACCACAGCTTGACCAGCTTGGGCCACCCCAGCTCGTGGCCGCACAGCCAGCCCGGCATTAGCCCGGGGAAGAGGCACAAGCTGGGGACAGGCCCAGCTCTGCCCTGTCCCACAGAGGGACAGCCAGCCAAGAGCCGTTACTGCAAACAGCCGAGGCCAGTATGAAGCCCTCTCCTCCCTGCTTCCTTAGTTTTCTGGGGAGGGGGAGCTCAAAGCCAGTGCTGGATGCCAAAAGCCACCACTGTCCCTCATGCCTCTGTTGTCACCACCACCCTGACAAGCAGCTCCCCAGCCCACAGCCCACCCTACCTGAGCACAGCCGCCCCTTTGCCCAGGTCGTATCTGTACTCCAGGTAGCCATCGTGTAAGGCCAGGGAGACAAAGTCCCCTTTGCCATCCGTCTTCTGGCCGTTGTAGAAGATCATGCCGCTGGGGTTCTTGGCCAGGAACACAACTTCCATGGACATTTTGTCCCTGAGGAGAGAAGGATTATGGATACCCTCCAATCCAGCTGCCCACGCGCTCTCTTCCTCCAGCCCCACGTGCCAAGCCCCCAAGGTCTCTGCCTGCCTGGGACTACAGGTAAGGCAGAGAGATGCCACCCCTGTAAGGCACTCTTGCCAGCTAAGAGATACATCTGCCACGTTCAGGATGCTGCTCCGTGGTGCTTTTTTACCCAGCCTGTTGCAACACCAAGCACCAGCACCCAGGGCACGATACTGGCTCAGTCTGGCTGCAGGGATTCTGGAGATGCCAGTTCCACCCGACAAAACCTCCAGCAAGCAAAAGGGAAGACCTCTAGGGAGAGCCAGCACGTGACAGGCGAGGCTCAGAGCATGAGCTCCCTCCCCCAGCTCAGCCGCGCAAGCGACGCGCTCGCCTGCCCCTCTCCCGTTCCCTGGCACTTACTGGAGGTCAGGAACGAAGGTCTGCAGCCCGTTCAGCTCGAGGTAGGAGAAGCCATTGAACTCCGGGAGGAAGGGCATGGTGTGGTCCTGCTCTGTCACTGGGCACAAACGAGGGAATGGTGAGGAAGAGCAGGCAGAGCAGCTTCAGCCAGCGCCCCAGAGCCACAGCAGGCAAGGCCTCCTGGCCACCCAGGCTGGGGAAATCACCACGTTCAGTTCCACCCCCTTCCCCAGACCCGCTCCTCTGCCAGCTCCCGTCCCACCTAGCTCGCAGAAGTCTCCTTCCCGGCCCATGGGACAGGCGCACAAGGCACCTCCCTCTGGCAGCACCAGGCAGGTGGCAGAGACGTGGCAGGGCGTAGGGTCGCAGGGATTCCTCTCGTCGGCACACGTTGGGCCTGCAGCGGAAAAGGCAGGCGGTCACGGAAGCATCTCAAACCAAGAGTCATGAAGCGCAATCTGGCCAGAGACAAGCGCCTCTGATGCCTCCTGATGCCCTGACAGCCTTTTTTTCCTGTCCAAGGTTGGGTTCCCACGACCCAAGAAGCCCCCCGCAGTGGACCCCGCGAATGGCAGATGATACCTTTGCCAGACTATGCCCCTGAAATGCAAGTGGAAACTTTTTTTGTGCATGAGAACAAACAGATCCTGGTCCTTGTCTTATGTGCATGTGAATAGGTCTAAATTCTAAATTTCTCGACTTCACTGGATGCGTCTTCACCCTACACTTCTCCCTCTAACCTCCTGCTGACACTTCCCCTCCCCAGCGTAGCTCATAACACGAGCCCCAGACGCTCTGGGAGCCCTCAGAGCCAGCCAGCAGGCCCAGGAGCCCCAGCATCGCTCTGTCTGCAGCCCCCTCCCCGTACCCGTGTAGGTGTGGAGACACTCGCAGTGGAACATCTCTGCCTCCTTGACGCGGCAGATGCCACCGTGGTGACAGGGGTTGGGGTGACAGGGGTCGTTGCCGCACTCGCCCACCCCGCTGCCATACAGCACGTCGCTGCCTTTCTCCCGCAGGTCGTACATCTGGTTGTTCACGTCCAGGAGGCGGATGCAGCCCTTCAGGCCGGCGGTAGCTGTGGTGCGATCCGCCACCCTGAGGGGGACAGAGGAGAAAG